TACACTGATCTCTACTATACTAACAGTTAGTATAGTAGAGATCAGTGTATAGCCCGCGTATATAGTACTAGAGCTGAGCCCTAAACCTAACCATATCAGATAGTTACCAGGGTACGTTCCGGCAGTACCCTGGGGGACATAGACCCTATGAGCAGTACGCGATGCAAGTGGGTGTATGAGGAGAAAAGCTTTGAAAGTTGAAACTAAAATACAGGGTTGCGAGCGTAGTTGCGAGCGTCCCTCCCTTATGTAAGGAGAGAGACGTGAAAAAAGAGAACGAGAAAGATATGGAGAGTAAAAGGAGGGACGCAGGGAGGGAAGAAAGATATGGATATATTGAGAAAAAAGCGCTATGGATAGGAACAATTAAGAGCTAATAATACCCATTATTATAGCTCATGATAGGTATTGTTGCTTATAGGGTCTATATGTCCCCCAGGGTACTGCTGGAACGTACCCTGGGTACGGTCCGGTATACCAGCACGTACCCTGGTAACTATCTAGCTGATATGGTTAGGGTTAGGGTTAGGGTTAGATTTAGGGTTAGGGAGTAGGCGTAGGCGACTCCCGAGACTCGTTAGTGGAGTAGGCGAGGTACGGCCCGGCATATTAGATAGTAGTATTTAATACCAGGGTACGTTCCGGTATACCGGACCGTACCCAGGGTACGTTCCGGCAGTACCCTGGGGGACATAGATTCAGACCCTATCAGCGGTATTGTTAGCTCTTGATAGGAAGGAGAGATATATGCAGAGAGAGGGAGAATGATATAGAGAGGGAGCTCAAGGAGGAGAGGTGGTAGTAGGGAAATGTAGGGCTATTGTGTAAGGGGGGGGAGATACAGATGGAAGGGGTAAGAGGGAAAGGGGCGAGATGGTATATAAGAAGGGGAAGGGGAGAGAGGGGGAATGGGGGAGAGGGGTAAGAGGGGAGAGAAAATGGGAAAGGGGAGAGAGGAGGAGGAGGGTGAGAAAAGGGGCAAGGGGAGAGAGGAGCAGGAGGGTGAGAAAAAAGGCAAGGGGAGAGAGGAACAGGAGGGTGAGAAAAGGGGCAAGGGGAGAGAGGAGCAGGAGGGCGAGAAAATAGGCAAGGGGAGAGAGGAGCAGGAGGGTGAGAAAAGGGGCAAGGGGAGAGAAGAAGAGAAGGAGGGTTAGAAAAGGGCAAGGGGATAGACCGAGAGAGGAGGGAAGCAGCGGGAAAAGTGAGAGTGGGAGAGTAGGAATGGAATATAGGGAATAATACAATTAAAAATCGGAATTGTGTGTACCAATAAAAACATCAAATTTATTTTTGCAAAGATTTCCATTCCACTCGGGTAGCATTTCAACAGGGCATAGTAAATTTTAATTGAAAATCCCAACCAACCTCTATCACAGGTACAACTATAGACAGTCGAATAGTACACACTTGAGTTAAATCATTCCACTCTCACCAAAGAATAGGCATATCTTGCCCACAGCATATGGTTAACATAGCTAGCTCTCTACAATGTGAAATGGGTACACACAGCTTCATATAGATAAATCAGTCATCTAATGAAGATGAAAATGTGCAAGAACCCAATGAAAGCAATCGTGTTGTCAGCCTGTGATGGTGTTCCCCATTACATGGAGATTGCCTGCTAACAAAACGATATTCCAATTGTTAGAGATGATATCAAAAAGTTGCCACACGCATGCGTCGAGTATTTATAATAATTAAAAGACTGCCATGCCCTAGCTCTATCCGTGAAGCCCGTGCTGAACCCTGCTCCACAACAGGAACGAAAGGCTACATGGGTAGACCTACAGCCATTGCAGCACCACCCATGAAAACCTGCGCTGCTTATAATTCTTGTTATTAAAATGTCTCAAGACTGCATTCGCATAAAGCAAAATTAGATATGGTAATCATTCTAATACATACGAGGATATAAATTACATAGAGATATATGGAATAAAAAACAGAATTGCATGGAGAAGCCATCCTTTTTCATTATACAATCTCAGTAATAGAACAAAGCAAAATTTTAAATATCATTGAAAATACTTTTAAAAAACATAGTACTCACGATTTTGGTTTAGGTCTGCATGCTTCTAAATTGAGTATTGAACATTAGCTTAATAACGCTGATAGGGTCTATGTCCCCCAGGGTACTGCCGGAACGTACCCTGGGTACGGTCCGGTATACCGAACGTACCCTGGTAACTATCTAGCTGATATGGTTAGGGTTAGGGTTATGTGTTAGGGTTACGGTTAGGGTTGAGTCAGGTTAGGGTTGAGGTTAGGGAGTAGGCGTAGGCGATCCCTAGACTCGTTAGTGGAGTGGCGAGGTACGGTCCAGCATATTAGATAGTAGTATTTAGTACCAGGGTACGTTCGGTGTACCGGACCGTACCCAGGGTACGCTCCAGCAGTATCCTGGGGGACATAGACCCTATCAGCCTTAATAACACACCGACTACATTTCTACGTACAAACTGCAACGTGTGTATGAGTCAAATGACACATACACATGAGTTTTAACCTGCATGAAGTGTTGGAATTTCCCGAACCCTTTCTTTCGTTAGTAGAAATGCAGTTAGCATGTGACATTTGGATATGCATACAAGTAATAATTTAGTAGGATCATGGCAACTTTACATGGCCTGGGTGAAATTCTTATTGACTATTCATAGTTTCACACATCATGACAGGTCACAAACAAACCTTAATTGCTAGTCACCATTAACAGATAGTAAGCAGCTTAAACCATACTGGCGCTCATAGGGTCTATGTCCCCCAGGGTACTGCCGGAACGTACCCTGGTAACTATTTGATATGGTTAGAGTTAGGGTTAGTGTTAGGGGTAGCGTTAGGGAGTAGGCGTAGGCGACTCTCTAGACTCGTTAGTGTAGTAGGAGAGGTGCGGTCCGGCATATTAGATAGTACCAGGGTACGTTCCGGCAGTACCCTGGGGGACATAGACCCTCTCAGCTATACTGGCACTAACCATAAGAGTCTATACTGTTTGGGGGTGCAGTTGCAGCATACCATTTTATGTTTTGAAATTAATAAAAACTCGCATTTTTACATTTGCTCACTACATTCGTTTAGCATTCGGCTTTATCATCTTTTTGCTGTGGGCAAGTTATGGGTATACACGACATCATTTCTGCAATAGGTATGCAGGCAATGTACAAGTAACACCTGTATAGATAGCTAGTCTAATAACCATAATTAATACCTAACTTTTGCTGTAACAAACTCGTTCTATTTACAATATGAATGGAAGAGAATGCAATATTTCATATGAAAAAGTTATATATGTTATACATAGTTTTCCTAAAATTGGAGCAATCGTATAATAAGATCATTTTATATGACTGAGAATTGATGGATGACCTAAGGGCCAGAGGTCTCAGCAAATGAAAATCAGGGAAAACTTCAAAAACAAAAATCATTAAATGAGGGAAAAAAAATATAACACAAGTTCTATTAACTGCAGGTTAATAGAGGTCTCCACAATTAATCTTCACCCAGTGTGATGACTTCATAAAGCCTTCATATGACCACAAGCCAAAAACATTTACTGTTCAAGTAACAGGTTATAGTAAGCTTTCATTTTTCTCCAGAAATCATAGTTCAAGCCAAAAATATCATGCGCAGAGTTGACAGTGAAAACTTCGGGTTTGTGAATGCCAAGGTTCCTCCTATCAGCTGTAATGTACACTCACACTTTCTTCCATGAAATAAAAAAGAATGCCGTTTACTGGCTACAACTTTGCGCTGCTACATACTGATTGCAGTATCCTTCACAAATGATAGCTCAGTACCTCATATTGACAGCTGTGCATCATAAAGTATACAAGCAAATACACACCAAGCAGAAGAGCGTAAGCATGACCGGCAACAAAACGACCCCAATTCAGTAACAGTATTTTCATGCTCAACTAGTCCTAAAAGCAATTTATTGTTCTTTCTGTACAACACTTTTCGCTTATGCTCAAGTGCCTGTAAAAGCATCACTGCACTCTATAAAAGGCATATATTGATTGATACACACTTGCTATGTGATTCAACCAATAGTGTCCTGAAATTTTGAGCCAACTTGCCTTGTACTGTAATGCATCAATGTCAATAACTAAGATAGGAACGTTGATTGAATAATTTTATCGGATCTCTATAGTTCACAAGCTAATAAAGTTAATTTCAGTTAGATGAGGAAGTCTATCGGAGAAATGGACAAAAATTTCGTCAGTGTAAGTATTTATAACTTATTTTGGATCTAACTGAAATTAACTTTATTAGCATAAAATAAAAACCTGCAGGTGTAAAGACAATTAACCTTAAACAATAAATCAGGCAAGAGTAACACAATGACCTCAGAACAAAAAAAAGTTTATAATCGAATTGATCCAAGAAAACCTACCAAATTGAAAGGAAACATCTCCAACGATTCACAGAGAAATTATTAACAGTTATACGTTTGTGCTGTGAACATAAATGAAAAGTTATAACATCTATGTACTAATATTTACCTTTCCCATAGATTGCATTAACTAACACTACAGGTTACATGCAAAATATGGTACTGGAAAAAAGGTTTGCAAAACTAAGATGATACAGACAAGAAATTAGGCGAGTAGGAAAACTGTGAAAAAATTAGCACTGAGTTATGGTCGTTTTATTGGTTATTTTTATGCTTTCGCTACTTCTGCTTAATCTATTTTTGATTATATGCCACCCAACTACAGCAGTTTACCTTATTTTTCACAAATGCATTTTAATCGCAGGCAATTTCCTAAACACTGATTGCAGTGTATAATTAGCAAAACACTCAGATTGTTTTTGCAACAGAGCTCAATCAATCTCAGGTGCTCTTAATACCATCCCATCCTGGCTTTATCAATCTGAATGACAAGTGTAACTAGGACCAATTAAATGGTATTCTAAATATTTTCAATGCTATACCAAAAAAAAACAATTACAGGGAAATATTATATGCTATCTGCTGGAAGATCCATACAAGTGAAGAGTGCTATTGCACAATAGGCTAATAGGGGTTGTTATGCCTTGCATGAATTTAGAAACTGAATTTAATTTTTTACAAGTATTTTTTCAAGAGATAATTCATCCCACAAACGCAGAGAAAGCAGGTGATAACTATCACATGACAACAAGCCTAGTAAATAACACATTTACCACCGTAAGAGAAACAGCTGTGTTCAACTGAAGATAGTTTCCGTTGCTCTCGCTAGGTCCCAGTCGCATGATGATAAGGCTACACGTGCTCGATGCTGCAGGAAATGTAATGGCAATATAATTATGCATGTAAATATGACTAATCTTTATCATTGTCTCATACAATTAATCGATACTGCCCCCACCCCAAAAACAGCCCTCCACAAAGCACGTTGTAGAAACAATGGTACAGTACGACTGGTCTACAGTGATAATATATAGACTGATGCTATGCTTCTTCTATTATAATTACGACAGATTTATGTTAGAATTAGGTAGTTACACAGAGTCTAAGCTTTGTGAGTGGTCATATCATTCACTGAATAGGTAACACTTAATATTATTTAACTTGTACATTAAAATAAGGGCAAACTGAACCCGCAAGTTTAATGCTACACATTTATAAAACTATATTTCATTTATAATGATTGAATATTATCGGGCTGATTAATAGTGTACAGTAATATATAGTTGAAAAATATATTATAAAAGGACTGCTTCGCACAAGGATTATAGTTTACTAATGAATCATATTCAATTGATTATGTTGGAGCAAGAGGAAGTATCTCTCTGCTGGTTCAGAGAAATATACTTAAATCTGGGATACACACATAGGTCATGCGACCAAACTTATTTATGAATTGATTATCTCGATGCATATCAGGCCAAATTTTATGCAAACTATATAGCCAGACTGGTTGGTCTCGACCAGCAGCAATCACACTGTAATTGGAGTTATGGCACACGTAAACATACTCACTTCATCTACTCCCATATCCGCTAACTGCTTAAGTTTAGAATCCAATTCTGGTGTTCTATTTGGAGCTGCAAACAAAACAGGAAAATTCTGACTAATATATATGAAAACAAATACATACTATTAAAAATTTCATAAATAATTTGTGTTATAATTTTATATTAGTTTTTTGTTTGCATTAGCTATCACAGCCATTGAATTCTATTTATGTTGTAAATAGCAATGTTGTTAAATTTTGTTGCATCAGTATCGCCTCCTGACACATCTTGCTTGACATGAAACTTGAATAATCTAAAACAAAATTAATACATAATTACCTCCTGCATATTTATAGCTCCAATGTTTTGCAGTTTTTACGTATATCTCGTAATTTTCCTTAAATTGCCTAGCGACTACTGCATCTTGTGGATCATCCGGCTCTGCTGCTGCTAGCAGAGCTTGTAGTGATAACAAAACTGTGCGTAAAGTCATTGCAGCTGCCCTGTACATGAAATAGAATTGCACACATCACCTGAAGGTTACTTATGTCACACAGCAGAGTCATTAATCTTGCAAAACAAAATAAATTCACCTAACATGACTCGATATATGATTTTTCAAATAGCCACACAATTCCACAATCCACTGTCATATGCACGTGCAGACAGAATTCACAAATTCATGAATTCGTTTTCGATGGGCACGTTTTAATGCTATAATAAAATGCACATATAAGATCTCTTTGTTTTGCAATACTAATCTCTTGTTAATTGCAAGACATTTAACATGACAACCAGAAACCCAAAGCTACAAAAGAGGTATCAACAGGTTCAAAAGATAATATCATAGCAAGAGCAGTCTCACTGTGTTTTGCAATTAAGACTGCTATATACAGTACCAGATGTGTGTCATTTCTTCTCCAGTATTAGACTACTGCTAGTGTGTGTTTTTTTAAATTGAATTATACAAGATCAAGCATTACACCTTACATCTTCTTACCACTGATCCCGAAGAATATCAAGGCAAATAGCACCAGTGACCGAACTAATGTTTGGATGCCAGATTTTTGTCTGAAATCTGACCTGAAAAAAACAACCATTAATGTAACCAATAAATGCTTCACTTTTGTTGCTATTTTGATGGCATGACCAAGTTAGTACCATATACATCAATAATTGCTTACATTATCATAAGAACCCATCAAAATATTTATAACCTTCTTCATTACATGACACTGAAGAATTATTATTTGGTTTTTTTCCACATACTGTGTATGCACTACAGTCTAAAAACTTAATGTGTAATAACTATGCAAGTTAGATTATCACAAACTTCACATCATTCCAGCTGAATTAATTAGATATTTCTATGCTGATTGTACTGCCAGGCTACAGCACTGTGTCAACTAAAATATGCCTCACTGACAACATTACGCTTTGTGCATTATTCCATGATGCAAGAGCTTCTACACGTCATACAATAATTATAGTTTAACATGCCGGTAAAATGTTCTATCACAGTATCTGTGCGACCAGTGTATCTCACACTCATGATAACAATTAAACTTATCTATAACATCTTTATCACTTACATGGGACAACCTAGTTTCAGGACAGTGACAGAACTAGACCTAGCTCATGATCTCACAATAGTGACAAATTTTTAGTGACATTTTATTAGCTCACCTTGGGAGGATTAAATGGATACGTCTCTGGAATTTTAATCTCTAATATAAACGTTCCACTTTCATATGGTGTATCTGGTGGTCCAGCAATTTCTCCTCTTAGTTCTGTGAAATTGTTATCCACTAATTCCACTTTTATAGCACATTTTGCTGCCTTGAGAAATAAAACAAGTTAAAATGTAAATTGCAATAATGTTTTCGAGGTAGGCATTTTTTAATATTGGATTACTATTTGAACACTATAAATAATGAATTATAAAAGCAAGTTACTTTTTTAGAGGGGATCACTCAAAATGGATAGGATGCCAAATGGCAAATCTCCTGCTCCAGAAATTGATGATTTCTTTGAATAGTTTTTAATTCTACACGTATGTATCGTGGTTGTCTGAAGGCTGAATGGCAGATTGTGGCAAAAGTTTTCCATTTATACGTATAAAAATAGAGAAGCATGCAATCCGACCAATCGATGAATCATGTGTCTGTCATTCATGATTCACGTTCACGTTGTACAGTCGCACAGTCTCAGTCAATGCGAATCGCGATCACGGATCAGCCTACCTCTTCACTTTTAACAACTTCCTTAAACTCCCGCTTTATTCTTGCTACCGCTATATTTGCCATTATAGTACTGGAAATTTATAGTATGTTAAAAACAGTTCTTTGTTGTTTTTGCTGAAACACAAAATTGCTCAGAACTGCATGTTCCGAACTTTTGTTGACATTATGGATACCGGAAATACAGGTGCGAAGTGCCGGATATGCACGCGAATATTCACTTTGATTCAACGTTTTCAAAAAACCTTAAAAAAAGATATAATTAAACAAAAAATAGTACTGTGGTGTTAATTATATACATGATCTATATACGTGCTAGTATTAACGTAAAATATTCAATAATGGAGCGAGTTATGACCGACGACCGCGTTTTTATAACCCCACCTTGGAACCGGAAATGACTGAGGAAATGCAGACACACGAAGAAAATAAACCTGTATAGTGTATAATTTTTCAGTTTTGTACAAATTACAAGGTAGAGAATAATCAGACATGTTTGTTTAGTATGAGTTAAACGAATCGGGTTTCAAATTGGAGAGAGCAACAATAGGTAAAGTAACCAAATACTTACGGAAATAGGTACTGATATTCATAATCATAGCTCCAAGAAACGGTAGGCCTTAGGCTAGGGTTAGAATAGTTAGAGAATCCGTCGCACAGCCTGGTCGGGCTAGGGTACCGGTATTCATTGCTGCTTGCACTTGTCAAGTTGTACTTGTAGCAGTACTGTAGTTGTAACACTAACAGTACTCTAGTAACACAGTAACACTAACTCAGTAACTGTAACCACAGACACTTGGAACGTCTCAATAAAATAAAAAAATGTAAACACGAAATGTATTTTACTATTTACTATCAAAGTCTTAATATGTCTCTACTCTATTTCGCCTATTATTGCCGATAACTTGCTGTAAATGCTGTTCAAATGCTCATCTGCAACACACAAGTACACCGCACGCCCGCCCTGTGCACAAACAACATGAATAAGAGACTAGGTAGGAAAGCATGATCGCTAAATTCGCTTGACGCTCGCTTCATTTCACACCTTCATCACAGCACGAATACACATCCAACAGCTTCCATCTTGGCATCTATGTCTAGCTAAATGTTCACTTGTTCGAA